CAATTTTACTCTCTGCTTTTTGTCAGAAAAAATTTCAGATTTTAACGACTCTTATTCGGGTTTGACGCAGATATTGCATTTTTTGTATTACCAATATAGTTACTTGAAATGCTTTTATTATTTTAATAATTTTAGATTATTACGTATACGCACAAAAATTAACCATGGTAAAATGATCAAACAAAGAAGGATGTGAGTCGGGCGCAGTAGGTCATTACATAATTGAATTTAATATAAAATCCATTTAAATTAAGTAATTATATAACCCATTGGTAAAACAGAAAAATGGAGGCGCATTTACTTTTGTCCCTTTTTTTGTCCTTTTTTAAAATTTTTCGTCCTTTTTTTCCCTGTTTTTTTTGGCTTATCTGTCCTGTTTTTCAAGCTGAGTGATGGCAGCACTGGGTAGTACATATGTCGGAACGAGCCGGATCGGACCACTATATCTTATGGCTCTCATAGAAATAATCAAAAAAATAATAGAAAAAATATTGTAACTTTGTTTTGTTTGGCGTTTTGATTTTTGACAATGTAAAAACAACATTTTAAGTAGGCATACCTGCAAGGGTATATAAACTTCGGCTTGCCGAAGTTAACTTCCTTTCTTGTTTTAAATATCGATTTACTTGTACACTCAGAAAATGAATCGCCCTGAATTTTAGAAAATCGCCTATGGATTTGCTTCACTGGCGATTTTTTTATTTAAAATAAAAAAATTTTCTACTGGTAAAGAAAATTTTCTTCCAATTAATCAAAATTCATTAAATTCAAGAAATATTCCAGAAATATAGAAAAAAATCGCCAGTAAAGCAAATCCATAGGCGATTTTCTAAAATTTTTTTTTGAGTGTAGTTGAAGATGATGAAAGGTCGAATGGAAAAACAGCTGGGGCATCGATTTAAATATCGGCTAATCTAGGGTCTTGCAATACGAATCGGCCCGTGTAATCCCAGCTGAAGACTGATGAGATGAGATGACGAGGCATGCCGTTTACAATGGATGGCTGGATGCAGAGTCGCCGAGCGGAACCTACTGTAGGCGAGTGCATTGTGCTCTGGAGTGCACTTAAAGGATTTTTTACGAGGCAAAGCGACGAAGGAGCTGAAACGAGCCAAGCTGGAATGAAAATCAACAAATGACGACAACTACAGCCCGTGGATAGGACCACCAGCTACAGCATCAGCTACCCCCGATGATTTGGTTTCGGTCCTTCGCCGGGCTGCCCGCCTTTCGAGTGTGTTTGTCCTTTCAAAATGTTTTTCTTTTCTAGCGACTTGAGTGCTTGGCGTATTCTACTAATTTTATTTCTCCACGCCCCGTGGAATCCCGAATCCTGTTGACAAAAATCTCAAATGTCTGCTCGACCGTGCGCCGTCTGTCTGCCATAATAATCATCCGACCATCCATCCATTCGTCCATTTATCCAGGTCCCGGCTGCGATCCCGAACGAGCAGGTAGTCCGTCATTGATTCCTATTCGCGCGTGTTTAATTCCCAAATCAGCGCTTCCAGATCTTGAGATCCTCGTCCTCGAAGCGTTGTCATCCGTTTGTTTGTTTTGTATGTTTTTTTTTATTTTCAGGGTTTGGGATTCGCAGCGCTTTGTTCGGGTTTTTTTTTCGCTTTGTCTTGTTTTTGTGCGGCTGCCGCTGATCTTATCAGCGTTTTGTTTCGTGAGGCATTAAAAATTTGTCATTTGTTCCCCATTGAGTCCGGGTTTTGTGTAAGCTCGATTGTCGCCCGACTTGTCATCGCATCTCCTCCATTTAGTTGGGCCAACTGTTTTTATTTCCCCGACGAGGGGCGGGGAAAAGGAAGCAGCTGGTCCTCTTGGCAATCGGATCGCAACTCATTGGATCTCTTTCCTTTGAACTGCGGCTGTCCAAAGCAATTTGGTAATTGCTACCTCAAGGCGAACGCTAAATTTGAAACTTTAGCATCTTAAACTGCATAATTGGTATTTCCAGCTTGAAATGGAGGATTTGAAACCTCGAATTCATGCTGAGTACGTTGTATTTCGGTTAGATTAGATTGATTACAATCAAACATTGCCGACACTTTATTGGGCGGGCTGCAACGCAATTGTAATCGCACTATAATCCCATAACCCACACACCTCATGGCCATTCAGCAGAATTGCTGCACTGGCATTTATTGTCGGGGAGCTTACCTCACATCGCATCTGAAGCATCCCAACCATCCCAGCCCGATGCACTTCTGTATTTGCAAATACTGATTATGTTTACATGCATACATCCAATGGCCAGTGTCCAAACAATGCTGGCAACTCAATTGTCCGGCCGGGGACAATGGGTCGTATGCGTAATGCCATATGAGCAGTGCTACAGATGCGTAATGAAAATTGGCGCCGTCTGCGTTCTGTTCTGTTCCTGTTCTGTTGAGTTGAGTTGTACTGAGCTGAGCTGCCATGACAGAGGACTCATGTCCTGGCTTGAGCAGACAAAATCAATTTGGTTTTGCGGTTTTCGGGCAGGACCTCCATATGTCCTGCCCAAAGGGCCGAATTGTCTGCCGGCCAGGAGCAATTTGCATTCCAGGACATGCAGGTAGCAAATAAAACCGATTCGGCGATCAAAACGGAATGGACCGGTGTGACCCAGCTGCATTTTAGTATAAATGCATCAAAGTCAAAGCAAATTAGGGGGAGGTACGGTCTCTATAGGTCCCCCAATTTCGAGTGGAGAAGGCTTTCGAGTGGCTCATCGAAAGTTGCCAGCGTCAGCGAACAGTTGACTAAATAAAACTTATGAAACTTGGCTAACAAAACGAACAATGAATACTTTTTAGTTGTATTTAAGTTAACTAATTTTTTGTTGAATAATTTATACTATTAACCTTGTGCATTTGTAATTAAATGTACGTTTGATTTTACGTAAAAAAAAAGAAAATTTTAATTTATTTTAATTGTAGTAAAATAAATTATTGTATAGGTAAACCTATTAGGTATTAATATAAGTTGGATTTATATAAAAGAATTAAACACTGCAATTTCAGAGCTCAAGTTCTCAATCTGTGAGGGCATCTCGAAAGAAGTGTTTCAATGCCCTAAGAAGGCCAAACTATTATTTGCAGTTGTCAGCCAGCCACCTCCTCGACGAATATTCTTGTGTTATTGAAAAACTTTTTCCAACAGACATGGCCCTGGGATGTCCGCAGAAGTCTCGCCCCGCAATGCTTTAGATTTAAATGAAGTGAAGTGAATTTAATGGTCAGCAGACATTTGTGCCTGGCCAACCAACTGTTTGCCCCGCTGGAGGGTCTTGCTTTCGCCCACATCCATCCTCATGGATTCCCACATGGATTTCCTCCTCCTTCAGTCGAGTGGAGTTTTCCGTATCTGTGCTATATTTGCATAGTATATGTTTCAAGGTCCTGTCTGTCTGCTCGGCGCACATGGAAGTTGGTTTGGTGTAACTATCAGCGCAAATGTACTTGAAAATTGTAATGAGCGTTAAGCCCGAGCGTCAACAACAAACAGTTTCAGTTTGGACTCGTTCCGCAGTCATCCTGCCATATGCCCGGATTATACGAGCCAGAAATACATGGGACTTTGGGTGGCGGGCGAACAGTTTGCAGTTACATTTTACAGTATTACAGGCGAGGACTTTGGTTCGATTAAAGAGCGCTTAGGAGCTTTTCCGATAATGGAAACCCCTCCAGCGGATGAATTTCAACTAATTCTTAATGAATGATGAACGCAATTTTTCGTATTTTTATTGGTATTGAACCAACATGTTTGTTATAAATTTATTGTTTTAAATTAGAACAAATTACATATAAAAAAGATTTCGTTTGCGTGAGAAACTAAAATGATTTTTTTCTTCCTTTTTTGTTTTCAAGAATTTCAGGGTATCTACGCAGCCGGAAGAAAATTTGAACAGGCTATGATCGAGTACCTCGAATAAAAAGTAATGGCGTCAATATCCTCTGCAAGTGTACACAAATTTTAATTTGTTTGTGTATGAAATGTATAAAGTAAACGAACGCAAACCAGATTCTTTCTTTAGTATATTCTTGATTACTTTTGTTTTTTTCTGAACTTTTGGTTATAAGTACAGTGTACTTAAGATAAGGGTCGAAAATTTCTTGTGCTCTAGATGTTTTTTATCCAAGTCAAGATTAGTCGAATTTCTGTGACTGTTTGAAATTGGTTATCGCAATGGAATAATGAAGTAGATAAGTATTTACATATATCGGCAGTAGAAAAATATTTATTATATATTTCGCAAACATATTTGGTGATAGATTAGTCTATATAAATAAATTTATTTAAAATCATGCCATAAATGGCGTGTTCTACTCTGGGCATATAAAAATGGGTAAGTTTTGAAAAAAGCTGGCAGTATAAGTTTTGTTTTTGAATCGAACAGTCGGCCCATAAGTTCGGACAAAATAGGTATACCTCGTCGGTTGATTAACATGGAATTATACCCAAGATCGGTCTGTCTTCTGATCTTCTTGCTTTTACTAATATTTTCCCCGAAAAGCGATGGGAACGCAATTCCAAATTCGAAAAGTGAAGAGCTACAGTTCGATGCGGATAGCATGAAATACATCATGAACTTGTGACAACTTTTTTGAGTTCGCCTGTAGAAATTACGAATTCGAACTTCAACCACTTTCTATTACGAAACATCTAGAGGACAAAATTGAGGACTTAGTGGCCATGAGAGAACAGGCGGAATCTCTCAATGTGTCCAGCGAACATAGAGTGGCCCAGAAATTATACAAAGCCTGTTTGGAGGCTGATCTCCAGACGTTTCCTGCTGCTGATTCTCATTACCTAACCCTCATTCGGTCAATAGGAGGCTTTCCCACTTGCTCGATTACGGGGCCAAGGGTCTGATCTTCGAGATTACATCAGATAGTTATCCCTTTGAGCCGTTTGTGCATACACCGCATCTAGGCTTTGAATCCATCCTCCAAAGGGACAATGTCGCGGATGGAGTTTCTTTCGCATTTCGATTGGATAGATCGCGTATGAGCCAATACTTACAATCCTTTCAATTGCCAGAGGATAAAATTGCAAGTGTGACCGACGGGGTTTTAGCGTTCTATCGCGACGCGCTAACAAACGCCATAAAATGGTATCCCTACGATTCCTGGGCTCAGAATGCATCCGAATTCAATTTGTACGTTGAGAAGATGAACGAGGTGTCAAAACGTCATCCTGAGGCTGTGGTCAATTATTTGGCTAGAAGCTGCTGTACTCATTCGACGCCAAAATTACTGACGACAGTAGCCAAGGCGAATAACTCCATGCCGTATCTCTTCAACAAACTCTATATGGCAGTAAGTCTTATGGATGACGAAAAATGAACATTTAAAAATGTAAAATTAATTATATAATGAATTCATTTACAGGCCTACCTTACGGAGAAAACAAAGATGGGAGTTAAGGACTTGCGGAAAAGCCTAAGAAGAACGCTGGAAGAAACCGATTGGTTGGACTGGGAGTCTCGAAAGGAGGTACTGCGTAAGGGATCCCCATTTTTGTCGCCCATAAGCTCAGTCCAGAACAATTTGCTAACCGATCGCCTAATCAGGGAGATGGGCCGCCTGGAAATAGTAGAAGATAGTTATCCGGCGACGTTTATAAACCTTCAACGCCTCATTGTCGACATCGATCGATTCAGCACTCGTCACTCTAAGGAACTTTCCAATGAAATCCGATCGCAGAGGGGTTTGTTGATAGACGTTCATCACTTGGTGAGGTTTTTGCAAGATTACGAAGATTACTGGCCGTCCGCCATGAAGTTCGGCGCTTTGGGTGGTCTTCTTGGCCAGGAAATCATCGGCCATATAAACTTCTCGTTAAAGGGTGCGCAACCCATGTTTGAGGAACGCGCCAAAAGCTTTCTGGATCACTACAGTAAGTATCTGAATCTGACAAGCGATACACTAAAGCAGCACTTGGACGAAATCGCATCATTGCAATTAGCATTTGCGGCCTACAAAAGCCAAAAGAATCAGCACAATGTCACCAAGGAGATGCCAGGACTCAACTTGTCCGCCGATCAGCTCTTCTTTGTGAAATACGCCCAATCGCTTTATTACAATTCCAAAGGACAAAGAAACTTACAAAGGAACGCAATTGTGGGCGCCTTATCGAGCAGAGCGGCCTTCAACTGCCCTGTAGATCCAGACCTGCGTCTTGCTGCCAAAACGTGTCGTCTGTTTTAGTTATAAGGAGCAACGCTTTCGAGGAAGGAAGTGCGAGGGAGATATGCATGCAGTAAAGCAACTGCTTGCACTGCTTGAATTACACTATTTGCTTATAACTTTTTATTGAATGGTCTGATTTAAAAATTCTTCTACATTTCAATAGGTGTTAATAAACACAAAAAATTGCTTTTATTTTGCTTCAAAATCTTTAAAGATGTGGGCGCCAGACACCTTTTAAATTCGCTAAAGACGATTGGTGGCGTATCACTCTGATGAAACAAGCTTAAGCTGCGTAGGAAGTCCCTACTAGGAACCCCACAAAACTGCATGAGTTAGTCCCAACTTTCTAGCTTTTAAAATTTAAAAGACCTCAGCGTTCATACAGACAGACGGACTGATGGACAGACTGGCATTGCTAGATCGACTCGGCTGGTGATGCTGATCAAGAATATATATGCTTTATAGGATTGGAAACGATTCCTTCTACCTGTTACATATTTTTGCACGATTGCAATACACCTTTTTACTCTACAAGTAACGGGTATAAATACATTTAAATATTTGTTTATTTTTAACAAGTATTGTAATGGGATAAAATCAATTTATAATACTCCAGCAATGAGCACGAATGTCTTTTTAGTAAACGTTAAAATGGAGCTACCTCTCATTAGCCCCCATAAAACACAATCATCGCACCGGGGACTGGTGCTTTGAAAAGTGCATCGGGAAAAATGAAATCACGTCGCGCCACTGCAACAAATTCAAGTTAATTGAATTCCAAAGTAAGCATAATTCCAGCCGGCAGCGAGCGCAGCAGTTCGGCTCTAAAAGCGAGCACACACTGTACGGCAGGAGGCATATTGCTGCAAAAAGTCGGCAGTCAGTCAGTCGAGAGCGAAGGGGTAGGCATTTAAACTAAATTTAGCCTGAAATTGCTTCCTTTTCGCTGCCGCTGTTGCCTGACGGTTGCCACTTTGCCGACAACACAAAATTCAATTACAATTGGCAGCAAAAGCGGCAACAGCAGCACAGCAGCAGCAAAAAAGAAAACGAAAGTCGCGCCTGCAACTCAAAAGCCAACGAACGATCGAGCTGGCCAACAACCGGAGTGGATTGGCAACTGCAACTCCAACTGAAACCGAAACTGGAGCTGAGACCCAACCTGAAGCTGCAATCCGGTTTGTTAATGTTTTCAGCACTTGCAATTATTTTATGCCGCCATCGTTTAAAGTGTCGGAAATTTGGTTCGGTAATTAAATGAAAATCAACGGCGACCAACGCCTGGCCACCGAAAAAACCAGGTCTTTAAAGAGCCAGTGTATACACATATATGTGGAAAATAGAAAATACTCTTAGAAATTAAATAACTTTCTGAAAATAAATTATAGTATTTTCTGAACCATGTATGGCCTGTATATAGACCATATAGATTTGTCCTGAACGACTTAAATTATAATAATATAAACTGACATCCTCCGCTATAATATTAACCAAAAATCGGTATTTGGTTTTTATATTTAACTTAATTTTAAAAATTCACACTCTCAATCAGTTTAGTTATTATACCAATATAAAAAAAAATTGCAAAAATAAACCCTTTTACTTTTTTTTCTATGTTAACTTTATGGCAAAGCCCCTGTTGAGAATGAACCTATTCAATTAAAGCAGGGTATGTTTTCAGAAAAACTGTGTGTAACATGAAAAATATCAAAACTCGGGGCGTCTAGCAGCTGCCGCCAAACTAGTTCAACTTGTTGTATTCGCTTTTCGCTGGCGTAATAACAGAGGCCCGAATCATACAGTCCCAATGAACGAACCCCTCTGCACGGCAATCAAAATACTTGTGGCAATAAAAACAACACAAGAACTGATATCAAAGAGTGAACGGGGGCCGAAAGCCAAGGAGAAACCATAACAAATCAAAGCACTAATGAATATTGAGAGGCCACTAAAAGGAACACGCGGCAGGAGCAACAAATTAATATCGAAGAAATACCAAAATTCACATAATAATAAATGCAACTCGACGAGGAGTAGGGCTAATAAAGGGCCAGTAAGCAGTGAGGAGCAGTAAGGAGCAACTTTTCCACCAGGATAATGGAGTGCTGTGGGCGGGGGGAAGGCAGAGAACACCTGCCTAACAACCGCAGGATCGGAATGGGAATGAAAATGAAAATGGGAGTGGGTATAAGAATGAGAGCGAGACGGCAACTCCAGTGCGGACCGAATGAAGGTAATAAAAATCGTATAAATAACCAAAGCTAAAGACAACAGCGGCAGAAGGACTTACAGAACGCTTGAAATATTATACGCAGCGGGAGGTGGGTAAACTTCTCGGCAAATGGAGAGGGTGGCTCGTTAATTTGCAATAAAATCCGATTATAACCACAAAAATGCGCCCATACAAGATATATACTCTTTGGTCCTTGTACTTAACCAAACCAAAGCAAACCCTCGCACAGGTGGAAATAAAAAGCCCGGAAGTCAAAGCCAACTTGTATCAATAAGTACGTAGTGTGGGCGGGGAAGGCTTACATTGATATTAAAGCCCCGCTATAAATAAGACGCCCTCCAGGCAGGCAAAGCCCACAAATTATAGCCCGGGTTTTCAGCAACGGGGTGAGTTTTCTTCCCCAACTACTTACTAAAGGTAGAGGTTCTCCGCCAAACCAGACCGAATTGAGATAGCACTCGAATTTGCATTGCTCGGCCGAAATTGCAGGAGAGTCCTTTCCAAAGGGCATCAATTTGCCGAACTGCTTTGGGACCTGTCGCCCTTTTCTCCAATCGACTTTCTCCCACAGGCATTTTTTATCTCAGCCGGGGATGAAATCCTGCGAAGGGGTGGTTGCAGAGTGCCACTTTAACTCCTCTTCTCCCTTTTCTTTTTGGAAGAAACTGTCTTGAAGTAAGGAAGTCCATAATTATTATCTACTTTACTTTCCAAGATAAATATATAATCTAATTTATTATTTATTAAATATACTATGCAGATTGGAGCTTTTTCAAATAGTTTACTTCATTCTTTTATTTTATGAACCATCTAATTTTTGGGAATAAAAATACAGAAATAAATAATTTCAAAAGTTTTTATATCAATTCCATGATTACATTTTAAATATACCTATTTTTAGAAACAATGGACAATCCCTCTTTGTATAATTTTTTTTATTATTTAGCATAAGCTAAAGCAGTATAGATCTAACACTTTCATCAAATTAACACTTCTATTTAATGCCTCAAAATCGTTTGACGAACTTCAAGGTTTTCTTTTCACCCCATAAAACGATTGAGCTTTAATTTAGACATTACTCAAAAATATCTGCCCTTTCCGGGGCTGCGCTCTGGGCAGAAAAGTTATGTCTTCAGCTAGAACTCGGTTCCTCCCTGCTCCAACCAACCGCAAAACAAATAAAAGTGTAAACACTGATTTGGCACGCGCCCTCCTTAGCCGAAAATTTATGCATAAAAAGGCCGATCCCGATCCGCAGCCGGAGCCCCAAGTCGAACCCAACCCTATGACCCCCCAAAACCCCCAAAAAGCAACCCCAAACACGGTAATTACCTGAGTCCTTTGCACGCACACAACCATAACATATATCCTGTGGGCGAGTCGGATGCAGAAGTTGAAGGTGAGGCATTCCCACTAGCGGCGCTGTCTGGCAAACTTTTCCTTTATCATTATTATCGAAGCAACATGCATATGAATATGGCCCTGCCCCGGAGTCATGTCTACCTTGCCAGCGCATCCCAACCCCTCTCATTCCGATCCCGAGACTTGTCTGTTCGGAGGTGTTATGGCCGGCTTCCGAGAGGACTTAACCGCTTTTGTAATGCATAATTTTGTGGGCTCGCAACCCCATATATGCATAAATAATTTGAGTATTTTCCTCGTTGAGTTTTCCCGTTTTATTCGCTTTTTTTGCTCCAGGTTTGAATGCGGAAAAATTTGTCTGCTGGCTTATTTTAAGCAAATTATGTGTAATTATTCACAAATTAACGAGCGAACAGGCGAGAAGCGGAGGAAACATATGTTTATGTTTATTAAATGAACTGCCTGCTGTGGTGTCAGTTTATTGACTTCGCTTAGATCGCTTTTCGGCAGGCCGGGCTTTTATAATAATTTCGTCATTTCCACAAACAATTTTGCAACAATTTAGTTAATTTATAGGCAGGCCTGCATTTGCCTTAGCCTTCGAATAGCCGTTAAATGCACAAAGGACACGCAAGTCGCCAGACACAAAGAGCCCTTCTCCAGCAGCCTCTCTACCACTCCACTTCACTCCAATCCCAAACCGAACCAATCCGGTCCCATCCAGGTCGACGGACGACGGCAATCAGACGATAAACTTATAAATGTTGCAGACGCCGCAGAAGCCGGGGCAGCCATACATATAGTAATTATGGCTATGGGCCATATTTGCCAACCAAGTTGGAGTCGGTCTCGGGTTCTCCGGCATAACAAAAACCAGAAAGTTTAAGCGCAGTTTGTCGTTGCCAAAGGACAACTAGAGCAGTTGATGAAGAAGTAAGCCGAAAGGGTTCAGACTGCGCTGAAAGTGGGTCTGGAACCGTTTATTAACTCAGACAATAAGCAGTTCTTCCCTGGGCGAATCGTATCCACAAATTAACGTAAGCTAAATCAAGTTAGGAATGCCTTTTCAAGGGATTTTGGTTTAAGAATGGTTAACTTTATAGAAGAACGAAGGTGTGTTTCGCTTTATTCTAAGGCAAGTAAGACATTTTGGTTTATTAAATGTTCGAGAAAATTACATTGTTCATTATTATTTTAAATTTAACTAAAATTGTTGATATTTAGTTTAAAGATATCCTCAATGATAAGCTTCTATTTATTATGAGAAATGCAACGTTCAAAAATGTCCTATTATTTTCAGAAATGTATCAAAATTATTTTTATTCTCCAATTAGTTGAAATATTACCAGATAACTTTGAAACATTATACAAAAAGTTCGTAAAGTTTCTCAACTCAACATGTTTTTTAAATTTTGGACAATTA